TTCCAGGACAGCTGGGGCTACAGGGAGACCCTGTCTCAAAAAGACAAAAAAATAAATAAATTAAATAAATAAATAAAATAAAATATATAATAAAATAAATGTTATGACAGTCATAGCAGGGATAATGTAGGGGATACATTTCTAAGTTTAACAAATACAGAAATGAATTCAGGTAATTTTATGAATTTTATGTGGCTTCTCTTAAAACACATGAATGAAAAATAAATAGTACTCAGCACTTAAAATGGTTCTGTAGAAGAGATTGCTACTTTGTATCCATAAATACCTTGCGTGTGATTGTCATATCATCTTCGGTCTAAAGTAAACATTGGTTTCAAGAATTAAGGATGGCCTGGAGAGATGGCTCAGTGGTTAACAGCACTGGATGCTCTTACAGAAGACTGAGGTTCAAATCCCAGCACCCACATGGTGGCTAACAACCATTGTAACTCCAGTTCCCAGGGAATCTGATGCCCTCTTCTGACCAGTACAACACCAGTGCACTTGCATGCGGGCAATACATTCATATACATAAAATTAAAATATTTTTTAAAAAAGAATTAAAAAGAGTAATTTGTACATTTTTTTTCAAATCTAGCTAGTTTTGGATCACAGAGACAGAGGTAGTAGAAACCACAGAGGAAATGTCTTAGCTCTGTTGGCCATAATTGAACTGCTCACCACACTGGCTCTGTGTTCTGCAATTGCTTTTAATTCCACTTGATTTTTTTCGTGTTTTTCTTTTTCTTTTTTCTCCCATTCAGCCTCAGCTTCAGCAATATCTCTAGCAATAATCAAATCTTCAGTATCAAGTTTCTCTTTCATCAGTTCACTCAGGAAGTTGTTTATTCTTTCTCTCCGTTCTTCCATTTGCCTGTAAAAAAATAACCATACTTGCCACATTTGTCAAATCCTCCCGAACAGCTCTGTAACAAAGCTAATGTAAGTGCATTAGAGAATCTGAGCTATTTTATAATCTTCAACAAAACAAGGAAGAGACCTTGGTTCCCTTTATATAATGATTGCTTTAAGTGGAATTAATTTGTTATACATTTTTTAAAAATTTAATACTTGAGAGAAACAAGGAAGTTAATTTTTACAATTACAAAGTAGCATATATTCTAAAACTTCAAAGAGAGCAGTGTGTACAGTATGATCATATATGTTTGCATGTACATTTGTGTAGGAAGAAAAGTATTAAAATTCTCCACATTGGAAAATAATTTGTCCAGGCCAGCTGGAGCTACAGGGAGACCCTGTCTCAAAAAGATAAAAAATTAAATAAATAAATAAATAAATAAATAGATAAATAAATAATAAATAAAGGTGGCAAACAATTGAGGAAGATGCTCAAGTTTGATTCCTCTGGTTTCCAAACCTATGTATATGAACCCTCATGCATATGTCCACACACCACACACACATCACAAACACATCCCAACAATGAGAAAACACTCGGGCTAGGGAGATAGCTTGAACAGTAAAGTGCTTGCTATGGAAGCATGAGTTGGAACCCCAGAACTCTTATAAAAAGCTGGGCATGGTGTCACGTCCTTTTAATCCCACCATTGGGAAGGTACTGCAAGCAGATCCCTGGGACTCACTAACCACAAGCCTAGCCTAGCCCCAGGTCCAGTGAGAGATCATGTATTAAAAAAGGCAGACAGCTCTTGAGGAACAAAACCAAAGGTTGAACTCTGGCCTCCACATGAATATATACTCACCACCCCTCCAAACATGCACATACTTGCATACACACAAAGAAAACAAATGAAGCAAATGTCAACAGATTTGAATAGACACTTCACAAAAGAAGTCATACAAATGTCTAACAAAGATAGGAAAAGTAGTTCATTGTCTTAGCCATGAGCTATCACTACATTAGGGCAGTGAACATTCTAAGATGACAAATACCAAAGCTTGGGAAAGATGCAGAGTGACTTGCACTCATACATTGCTGGCAGGGATGGAAAATAAGACTGTCTGAAAAGAGATTTCCATCACAGATGATTGGATGCTAGATTCTCTACCCATTTTTAAAATCTTGCATATTTCCTCCCCTCAAAACTGAAGCCTACAAGTTCCCAATCAATATGGTCTCTGAGATATCACTGGAAAGATGGGGAAAAGAGCTGGGAACCTAGTCAGCAGTAGGCTGCTTTACAATGTCCCCTAAGAAAGTATAGGTCTTTTTGAGATAGGATCTCCCTGTAGCCTCAGCTGGCCTGGAAATTGCTATGTAGGCCAGGCTGGCCTTGAACTCACTGAGATCCACCTACCTCTGCCTCCTGAGTGCTGGGACTAAAGTGTGCCACCACGCCCAGCGCATTTATATTTTCTTTATATCTACTAAAGCACAATAGACTCTAAATAATGATAAAAATTTGTGTACGTGAAAAATCTAGTATGAGAACCTCAGTGCAGATAAAAGCAGGAACACATTTCACATTTTTAATATATTTTATTGTAACACCATAATGATCATTTGTTCTTACCTAATACAGAAAACTGCTTGTTAGAAAGAAAGCCAGAATGAATTCTGCATTGTATATTTACTTTTGAAATAACTGTTAAAATAGGTATGATTACCATTTGTTGAATATGGGCATCTTGAACTTCAAGTTGCTCTTTACTAGCTTTGAGCCTTTTCTCCTTTTCAAGCTCCCAGAAGATCTCATCTGCTTTTATGACAGCCAGCAATTGTTCTTTAGACTCTATCTTTCTTTGTCTTTTTTCTTCCTCTTTATTTTTCATCTAGATGTTTAAGGGTAAGGAAAAAATTAAAATAATCTTTAGCAATCAGTTCTCATTATAAAGGGATGGAGCCGGTGTGGTAGTTCACACCTTTAATCCCAACACTCCAGAGGCAGAAGCAGAGGTAGGTGAATCTCTGAGAGTTCAAGGCCAGCCTGGTCTACATAGAGAGTTCCAGGCCAGCTGGGATTACAGGGAGACCCTATCTCAAACAAATAAAAAAAGAAATGGAGTCAGAATGCACCAAGCAAATAGCAAGGAGCAATGTAGGGCAGAAAGCTGTATGCACATGGGTTTTCTCCTACATGGCTGGGTTATTTTGTTTTATTCTCTTGAATACTAAGATATGCTTAACAAAAACATAAGAATGGTGTTATATACCGATCTCTGGTTTTTTAAAAAGTCTATATTAGGCTGCAGAGGTGGCTCAGTGGTTAAAAGCATTGGCTGCTCTTGCAGAAGACCTGGGATCAGTTCCCAGCACCCATATGTTGGGTAACAAGTGTCCATAACTCCAGTTCCAGGGGATATGACGCCCTCTTCTGGCCTATGTGAGTGTTGAATGCACATGCGCACTCCCATACATGCAGGCAAAACACTCATAAAATAAAAACAAATTTTAGAAAGAAGCCAGGTGTGGTGGCTCATGCCTTTACTTCCAGCACTCAGGACACAGAGACAGTTGGGTCTCTGTGAGATTGAGGCCAGCCTGGTCTACATAGTGAGTTTCAGGCCAGCTGGGGCTACAGGGAGATCCTGTCTCAAAAAGACCAAAAAATACTTCTTTTAGGAAAAACCCACAGTTGGGTATGAGGTGCTGTGATGGTTTGAATGAAAATGTCCCAGCCAGGCGTGGTGGCGCACGCCTGTAGTCCCAGCACTTGGGAGGCAGAGGCAGGTGGATCTCTGTGAGTTCAAGGCCAGCCTGGTCTACATAGTGAGTTC